CCTCCCACCCTTGGAGGCAGCGTGATGTAAAATGGGAAAACAAAAGCCCAGGACTGCCATCAGCAGCCGGAGGTCCTGCTCTCTGGTGGCACGTTCTGCCCAGGAGCCACAGAAGAGAAGAACTCAACTCCGAGGGGCCCTCTGGTTTGGGCAGTGTAACCCCAGGAAAGTGATTTGTGTCTGCAGTACTGGTCTAGCTCCATCCACTTCACCAGACCCTTAAGACAGAGCAAGACAAATGAGAAATCCTGGGGAGCTGAGGCCTGTTGGCCAAGCAAAAGCCACGCACATGTTTCTTCCAATGGACACTGGCAGCACATGGTCGTGGTGGGCATTCTTGGGGTGGGGGTGAGGGAGAAAGCAAAAGTCCTCATTGATCATCCCAACTTGGCAGCTCCAGAGAAAACCTTGAGTTACACATTTGCTTCTTGTCTCCCAGAATTTGTTCCCACAGGTATAATACATGCTCATGTTGGTGGTAGAGAGGCCTGGGTTCAAATCCCGCCTCTGCCAACTACTTGCTGTGAAGTTGGGAAGGCCCTTCACCTCCCCGAGTGCCTTGGTTTCACCTGTAAAATGAGGATAGCAGCAGCAGCAGCTACTACAGAAGGTGTGTCATATTATCTCTGACAACAACCATACAGTGAGCACGTGTATCAAGTCATCTGTCATCCTATGACCTGTTGACAGGGGCAGTGGCCAGACCATACCTCAAAGCTACCTCTGAACCCTGCAGCCCTCACGGCTGTTATTCAGTTCACCCTGTATTCTTACTCTTACTCAGATTCTACCTGAGCATCTCCCTTTGTCAGGTGCTGCCCTAGGCTCTGGGAATATAGGTGTGAGGTCTCTACTCTCAGCAAGCTTATAGTCGATGGAGAGAAAACAATCCAACCTATTGTCCAACTCAGAGCAACCTAATAGGGCAGGGTAGAGCCATAGAGCATCCACAGCGGCTGTAAACCTCTGTGGAAGCCACCTGTGGCATCTTCCCCCACAGAGCGGATAGATTCCAACTGCCCACTTTGCCATTAGCAGCCAAGCATCTAACCACCTGTGCCCCAGTCTACAGGGAGAGGCAGATGAAAACAAATAATAAAAAAATCACGTCAAAGCTTGAGAAGCAGAATACAGGAAGTGAGACCCAAAGGACAGTAGTGGTGGTGAGGGAGGCAGGACGGCCTCACGAAAGGTGGCAGGAACTGAGATCTACAGAACTCTGTGGTCAGCAGAACTGCCCCCAAAGGTTTCTCAGACTGTAACCTGTTTATGGGAACAGAAGGAGTAACTGCTGACCTTGTGGTTTAGTAGCCTAATGCAAAGCCTACTACACCACGAGATCCTCCTAAGGGAGGCAGAAGGCCAAGGTCAGAGCTAAGATGAGAGAAGCAGGCAGGGGGAGGGGGTTGAAGATGATAGACTGCTGACTCAGCCCAGGGGAAGGAGTCACCAGAGAGACAGGAGGCCAGTTTTGGGGAGAAAGGACAAAGAAATCCAGCCCCACTCCCCCAGCCCCCAAAGGGATACAGCCCAGCCTACACCTGGCCTTGCTTCCATTGAGACCAAGTGCAAATCTGTGGCCTCCAGGATGTAAGGCAATCGAGTGGCGGTGCTGTGCGCCACAGTTTGTGGTGGTTGTTACAGTCGCAATAGAAAACGAATACAGATTGTAGGAACCCACTTAGCTTAAAGCACTCCATGTTGTTAAAATTGCCATCCAGTATGACCTCAACCTTGCTATTCCTAGCCCCTCCCCGATAGCCTGCCAGGCTCTGGCTGAACCACAAACACTCCTGCCAGAAAAGCTCCTCCGGCCCTCCAGACAGGCTTTGACTCTGCTCCCCTAACCTCTCCCAATAACCTTCTGCCAGATAAGCGAGGAATGCAGTAAGTCTTGACAGACCCTGACTCATCACAGGTGTCCCTCCTGACCCTCTCCCAATGTCCTACCTGTCTGTTCAGCAGAGAATGGAACTGAATGTCTCCTCCCAATCTAGCCCCCTGGTTTAACTATTGTATAAAGCCTGTCTGCCACCCCTGATGAGGGTTGAGTGTGCAGGCACGAGCCTCCTCTCTCGGCCCAGAGAGCTGCAATCAAAGCTGATTCTTTCATTTTCATGAAGTGGTGCGGTTTGAGCTAGTCAGCCATGGGAAGGACAGGGGGTGGCTGGGGGAGGACAGGAGGGGAGGCAGCAGGAACTACAAAGACCAGAGTGGGCGTGGCAGGAGAGAATGTAGAGATGCTGCCAGCCAGCAGGTATCCAGCGGGCTGCAGAGGGGCAGGGGGGAGGGAGCACTAGAACTGATGGTGATGACACAACTGAGTTAACCATGGGGAAAAAAAGTTCTAAAATTGATTGGAGTGTCAATTGTGAGGAATGGGGGAGGAGGAGAGAGTGGAGCACATCCTGGGCCACCAGGCCTTGAGGACGATGTTCCCGATTAGAGCAGCCAGTCCACAGAGAGGACCACATGGCCGGGCCCCACTATGAAACATGATGTCCCTCATTGACCCATACCCCTACAGGGGACAACACCGGAGACACAGTGTGGGAATTGTTGCCCAATCTGATCCCGCCACACGAGGCAAAACACTAAAGGGGTGCAACAGAAAAGCAAGGGAATGGAGCGGCAAGGTCCCCAAGGAATGTTGAAAGTGGACTTTGGGGCCAGGGCATGGTGCCCCATCAGACTGGACTGGAAAATATTCCTAAAGGCCAACAAACAGTCCTTGGACTAACTATAAGCTTTTCTTTCTTGTGTTTTGTTTTTTGTCATTGGTTTGTTGTTTTGTTGTATATTGTTGCTTGGTTTTGCTCTGTCTTGTTTTTGTGCGTTAAAAAAAATACAAACGCAGAAATAAATATGTTTAGGAAAAGAAAAAAGAAGGCATAAAATGCCTAAAATACCCACCACTTTGCCTGGCACGGAGCAAACGTAGTCAGTCCACAAAGACAATGTTCCCCATCCTAGTTTGGTCAATAGTGACTGAGGTCTGAAAGGCTTCTGAGCAGTCATCCACAATGCAACTATTGGCTCTGCTCGTCCAGAGGAAAGGAAACGGAAGGCAATTAGTCCAACAGACTAATGAACCACAGGAATACCAGTTTCCGTGACCTTGAGACCAGAAGAACTTGGTGGTGCCCAGCTACCACCACCAACTGCTCTGACAATGATCCCATTAGAAGGTCCTGGGCAGAGTGGGATACAAAATGTGGAAAAGAACTCAAAATTATGAAAAATACCAAGCTCTAAAGACTAATGGAACCCCAAGATGATGACCCTTAGTCACCCATCAGTTTTGGAAATGAACCAAGTCTGTGGTTCATTTTCCAATCAGACAGCAGGTCCATAGGAAGAGCCCAGCACTAGGGAGCTACACAAACTTTGAACAACCAACCATCTGAGATCAAAAGGGCAACATCTAACCAAAGGCATAGTTCAGGAGATTAGGGAAGGTGGAATGATCCCAGAAACAGAAGAAGAACATGGGATAAAGCATGGTACACAGAGGGGATTGCACCGCGTGAGAGAGATGAAACAACATGTGTGCGCCTTGTTGAGTGGAAAACTGATCTGCTCTGTAAACCTTCACTCAGCTCACCATAAAACATGGAGGAAGAGGAAGAGGAGGAGAGGAGAGAGAAAAAGAGGAGGAGAGGGGAGAATGGTTACCCCAGGGTGGTGGAATTTTAACTAATCTTTTCTCTCTAACAATATTTTGCCATAAGCATGCATTATGTTCCTTACTGGGTTACAAGAGGGCTTCTCAGGTTTGGCACTGCCGACACTGGACAATTCTTTGTTGTGAAGGGCTGCCCTGGGCACTGCAGGATTTTAAGTACTAACCCCGGCCTCTATGCACAGCATCTCTCTATTTGTGACAACCAAAAAGGTCTCTCTCTGAACATTAGCAAATGTCTCCTCGGGAGTAAATCCTCCCTAGCTGAAGACTACTCTTAAAAATATGCATATCTTGGCCAAACGTAACGGATAACACATGAGGGGGCTTCAAAAATGCATGGAAAAATTAAATTAAAAGATAATGGAAGTTTTCCATGAATTTTCTGACTCCACCTCACACACTGTCATTCTATTAGTAGTAGTATTTCAACTGTATACATACATACTCTTTTAAATGTTATTTTGTAATTTAAATGACCAAGTAAAAAATATGCACACCATTTAAAAAATAAATTAGCACTAGCTACATTGATTAAAACAAAACAAAAAAATGATCATCTTTAACGCTTCCTTATTGTTGTGTGCTGTTGAGTTGATTTTAACTTCCAGCAACCCAATAGGGCAGATTAACTTACATGGGTATCTAATTATGTATGTAGGTGCTTTTTTAATACAATAATTTTACTAACAATTTTTATGAAGATACAAATATCATCTACAGTTCACACACACACACACACACACAGCACACAGCTTCTTCCTAAATGCCCAGGTCACCTGGCTAAATGTCAGCGGAGTGAAAGTTGGGAGAGGTGAGGTAGGGCTGGGGGGCACCAAGAAATTACAACATCGTGTTTCCTGGTAGAGCCAGACTGCGGGGGTTCAAGTCCCACACCTCCTTTTTGCAGCCCATTAAATAAAATACTATATGTAAAGGCTAGAACTGGCCCCAGCACATGAATGGCTATTCCTACCAGAGCAACAGGAGGTTTCCTACTCCTGTAAGGAATTAGACTGTGAAACCCACAGGGGCACTTCTACCCTGCCCTATAGAGTCGGAATCGACAGGAAGGCAGTGAGCTTGGGTTTGAGTTTATTCTTAGGGGAAGGGGGCCCAGGAGGCTGGTGGATTATGCATTGGGCTGCTAATCTCATGGTCTCCAGTTCCAACCCACCAGCTGCTTCGTGAGAGAAAGATGAGATTTTCTGCGAATAAAGTTTACAGCCTCAGAAATCCACAGGGCGGTCCTACGCTGCCTTGTTCCTTAGCTAAGGTCGCTGTGCTTCAGAACTGTTTTAGTTATCCTTACAGGATGACGTTTCACGGCGAACGGCAGCAAAGCAGAGGTACTGGTGACGAACAAGAAAACAGCTGGCAGTGGGTCCCAACAGAAAGCTCAGCGCCAGCGCACCCCCGGGGCACAGTCCACCTCCCGGGTAACCCAACTGGGGTTCAGGGAGGGGTCCGGCGCTGCGCGGATCCCGAGCGAGGCTCGTCCAGGCCCAGGGCACGTACAACCAGCCCAGCCCCGGGACTAACAAAACCGAAACCCAGACCAGCGCGGGTGACCCGGTGGGCTCCGAGCCCTGGGATCGATCCATCGCGCCCACCTCACCTGCGCCCCGGCCCCACTCACCGAACTGCATCCACTGCCACTCGCTGAGGGTGTCCATGTTGCGGCACAGGTCGTCCAGCACCCAGGAAGGCAGCTGGTAGATGTAGCAGCACATGGCGGGGACCTGCCCGATGGCCCGGCCGGGGAGCGAATGAGCCGCACGGCGGCCGGACCCGGCTGCGCCCGGGGTGGGCGGCTCCCTCCGGCCGCCCGGGAAGTGGGAGGGACCGGGCGGCGGGCTCCACTGCCCCCGAGCGGCCGCCAGCGGCACGACGCGGTTAGCGGGGGCCGCGCGGAGGGTCCCCGAGCTGGGCCAACAAGGGGGACCAAGCTCAGCAACTCAAGGCCGCCGGGGGGAGGGGGGAGGGGGGCTTTCGGTGGCAGTCTGATACCCTTCTAAATCCATTTCCATTGTACCTGGCTCTAAAGGACATACACTCACTCACCAAATATTGTACTGAATACCTGATGTCTGCCAAGCACTGACCTAGATGTAGGAGCTCTGGGGTCACTGTCGAAAGGTCGGTGGTTCAAACCCACAGGCTGCCCCACAGGAGAAAGATGAGACTATCTACTCCCATAGAGGTCGACAGCCTCGGAAACCTTGTCGGCATGAATCCGGGGTTGGGAAACATAAAAAGAAAATTCACAAAACCCTTAAGGAAGCCCGAGGGGTCATTGGCTTGAGGCGTTGGACTGTCGGACACAGTGAGGCCCATACAGATGTGCAGTTTGGGAATTCCTACGTTCCTGAGGGGCTACCTGCTCTGCCCTGCAGTCACTATGAGCCAGAATCCACTGAATGGAGACGCAGAAGTCTTTTGTTTCATGGGATTTATAATCTAGGTGTTTTGACGGAAGGACATTAGTAATAAATAAAAAACACCAAGTAAATTATCACGTGTTAAATGGCAATAACGTATCCTCCCCTCAAAAAACACACACAGCCCAAGAATCCATTCCAACCTCTAGCCGCCTGATAGAACAGAATAAAGCTGCCCCTTAAAGTTTCCAAGACTTTATGGGAGCAGACAGCCTCATCTTTCTCCCTTGGGGCAGTTGGTGGGTTCCATTCATAATCCTGCAGGTGCAACTCCATTCATAAGCTCACTACAGCGTGCTTCCCAATGGTAATGAGGGTAGAAACCAGCCAAGGGCTCCACAGGTGCATGGGTCATGAAGAAACTAGATGGCACCTGGTTATCAGGAGGAATAGTGTCTAGGGTCTTCCAGGGTTGTCTCCCAACAAGCAGTCGTCTAAGTGAGGCGTCAACTAAGTCCACATGGAGAAAGCACACCAGCCTATGTGATCCATGGATTTTAAATCATATAATCCAAATCCAAAGAAAGGAATGGTATCAGAGTTTAAATCGTGAACACCTGGTTTGCAGAGGGCTATGGATGCAGTGGAAGGCCAAAATCCATGTGCAGGGTCCATGCATGGATTAAGCCTCTGGTGAATCCCCTCTGATCTTAGTTGAGGGACATGAATAGTCTTGTTATCGGATAGAGAAGTTTGTAAACTCAGTCATGGCAAATGTAGTTAAGTTAATGTGTAAATTCTTATCATTTGATCTACTTTTTGATCCATTTTAAAGTTGTAGGGGAAATACAAGCAGATTATGCCAGCCCCTAACAAATCATCACAGGTCCGGTAGGGGCAATTGTAAGCGATAATAAGTAAAGATTATGGTAAAGTCATAGAGAACATGAGAGATAGAAGAGAGATTAAAATAATGGAATCAGACACATTTCATAGTAGCATGCTCACCTCAGCACTGCTTGGTGGTCCACGTGGAGAAGTGGAAGGTGGGAATTGCCGGAGCAAGCGATAGTGGGGAGAGAGAGAGAGCTTCTCTATTGCTAACCAAGGCTTATATCTCTTTGGGGGCGAACAAGGCCCTAATTACAGGTAAAGACATATGTCACAGGAAGGGGTTGTGCTATAGGTACTACAGTAATGAGAGGGGCACAATCTAAGGGTGTACACGCAATAGGAAGGGGAGGTATAGGGGTACACATGTGACAAGATGAGCGAATCCTAGATTCTGGGAGGCAGATTAACTTTGGATGCCACTGAGCCGGTTTGACCTGTTCTCTGGCTCACTATTGAAACCATAATCAGTAGGGTGTAAACCCCACCTACTGGGACCAGACTGATGGCCACAGCCTTTAGTGCGAAGTAGCCCATTGTTCTTAACAGCAGGGAGTGGGCCCATCTTGTGGTGGGACCAGACAGTAGTCTGGCAACTGACTGCCTTCAGGGAGGATGTCTCTAAGCATCTGACTTCCCACCATATGCTAAGAAATAGCCACTAATGTTTGGCATGTCTTTGGGGGAGAAAAAGCTGGGGGAAAGTCTCTTTATAACACCACAATTCCCCCTTTTGTTTTACATATAAAATTTAAAAGAGCCACAGGGGCAGATTGGTTATTTTCTATACATTGAAAGCTGTCAAGGCAAATTTAATGGCCAAATTAATATAGCCAAAAATTCAGGTTTATGGTAAACGTTTTGAATCCAGGCACAAGGGATAAAGTCTCACTATGCACAACTGCTACTGGGGGAAGGTATGAGAGGGGCTGGATGCTGCAGTGGGAAGAAATAGAGCCAATAGGAATGTCTGCTTCTATAGGGAGATAGAATCAACCATTTGCACACTTTAAGGCAACACAGCTTTAAAGAGAGAAGCTGTGGATATGATAGACTATCGCAGGAAAATGTACTCGGACTATGTCTCCAACCACCAGTGGTGGCCTTCCTACCGTGGAATGCGGGCCTTCCAGTTTCCCTCTGTACCAGACAAGGAATAAATCCCAGTTCTATTTCCCTCAGTGCTAGTTTCCCAAGTTTCCCCCTTCTGCATCACATTTAAGATTTAATAGTGTCACGGAGGCAACATGGTCTCTCTTCATTCATATCTCTTAGCTTCCTATAGAAGCAACACGAGACTGCGAGCATCAGAATTATGATGAACAACACAGTCATTCTGGAACTTAAGCTATGTGAAATGCTTTGAGTCCAGGCTCGAGGGTCCAACCCTTCCAGGCCATTCACCAACTGCTTAATCATGTCAGAGCCAGGAGATGCCTCAAGCTTGTCTTTGAATGTACAGAAAATATCCTTCTTAAGCTGATCAACATCTAATGAAGTGTTTCCCTTAAACCCTTGCAAATGTTTTCTAATCAAATCCCAATCATGCAATGTTTTATTATATGGGTAAGGAGTTATACAAAAATTAGTTACATTCCAATCACATTTTAGCATTAATTGATATTGCAAGTCCATGTTTGATCTCCCAGCAACTGGACAGTTTGCTGCAGCTCCGCTACTCACCCCCCACACACACACCAGTTCCTCGTCCACCTTTGCCTGAGTGGCCCAGAGCTGAAGTGAGTTAGTTCACTTGCCACTTCTGTACGAAATGCTCAGTTTGGATGGACTCTTACAGAGCACCCCCAGCGACGCAGCAGTGGTGGCAATGGCTATGAGTCCAATTATAGCTGCGATGAACATTCCCACGAATCGGCGAGGTCTTTTCAGCATTTCCAACACCACTTGCATCCTGAAGGACGATTCTGGACTGCTCTCCCATATCTGCATTTCATCTCCACTGGGATCCACACCCCATCCTGCTCTTTAGGATGAGGATGCTGTCTTTTGAGAGGTTTATAAGCAGAGCATGGTTAATGCAAGCGAACAATTTACAATTATGGCAAGTGGCACTGCGAGCAGTTTCATTTATGACGGTGTTTCTTACAGCAAGCACATAGGGCAGCTTTACACACGAGGCTATATATCGAGTCTCATTCCTGTGAAAAGTATAAGTATAGCCAGACCGACTGGTGCCAGTAAAGCTTCCTGTGTAGCCTGTTAAAGGCTTAGTGGCAAGTGGTAATTTCCACAGGTCCCACTGTTCAGGTCCTGTCACAGGCTTCAGTAACCTGGGGCGGGGAGGCACAAGGCATGAGGACCACCAAGCGGGGCGGAGGTGAGCAATGTTACCATGTAATATGTCTGACTGTATTATTGTATTATCTCTCATGCTCTCAATGACTTTAATATAATATTTATATATCTCAACCGTACAATTGTGCATTACTGAACCCAGAAGTAGTATTACTGAATCCGAGTAGTAGTAATAGGAGTATTAGCGGTGGGGGCTGGCCCCCCCACCTCCCTCAGCGTCATTTTTTATTTAATACTACAGGAGTCCATCAGCTTTACTCTGCAAAACCTTCCTCCAGGTGACAAATGGACCTGGATCCCAAACCCAATTCCCGTCTTCCTGGGACTTCTTAGGATCAGCTTTTTCTGTGGAAGTGAAAATGTGTTTATCTGCCCAACTTTGTTACAAGCTTTTAGCAAGGAGAAATTTTTTTTAGTTAAAATGACTAAATGAACTTTGTCACACATAAGATTTCTCTTCTCCCTCTTCTGTTTTAACAATGCAGATATTAAATCACTGCTAGCAATCTCAGTTAACTTGCTTGGTTTTGAACCAGTAAAACGACTTAGATAGAGTTGATTGTTATATAGAGTTCGGCTTCCAGCTCTCCGGGAATCTAGAGAGCTAACTAATTGTGAGAACTTCTTACCACATTCAGGATAATTTGAAAGACTGAAAAATTCTTAATAAATTTCTCCAGCTGTTTTTGAACTAATTTACCACAGCCATTTTTTTCTATAAGTTTATCAATAAAATTACAGGCTCTTTACACTGTATGATTTTACAATCTTGCAATATTCTGTCTTGGTTAACTTCTCTCATTCCTTCCAAGCCGGATTTAGAGGAAGTTAGTGGGCAGGTCTTAGGCCCTGGTGAATGTCTTAAGGAAATGACCCCATATCCAGAGCTTAAACCGTTTTCCTCCAATTTCTAATTCCATGTGGGGTGCTGTTGGTTCCCCACAACAGCATTCCAAAAGACCCCTTGATTTAAAGGGTGGTCAGATTTCTCCATTACTCTTTCCTGATAGGCATAAGTTTTAACTCTAGAAAGGCAAGGAAGCAAAAATTGGTTTAAGCAATCTTCCTTCTTTATAAACCATGGCAGACTTCATCAAAGCCTTAATTTCTTCTTCATAATCCTGATCAATAATTCCAGTAACCAC